TATATAAATTAAATTTGCATTTCTTTAAAAATAATAAGTACTCACATAATAATAAGTATTCAGAGAGAAATTGAAGAGAGAAATTATTACTTTTATTTTCCTGCATATTATTCATCATCGTAGACAACAAGTGCAAATGCGAAATGGATTAAATGGAAAGTGTAGCTGTCGTCATGTGTACGTCATGTGTACGTGTGATAAAGTAAAAAAAAAACCTATCATCAATATTGTCATAATTCTAAAGAAAATATAGGCATTCACGTATACATATTGTAATATAAAAATTTAAATTTTTTTTATTCTAATATTTAAATATTGGAGTATTTTTTCAAATAATTTTTTTTAGAAGATTACTTTCATAAAATAAAACAGAAAATTTAAAGAATGATATCGTTGAAAAACTGAATGACTTATAAAAGATTGTGACAAAAAAAATTCAGGTAACAAGAAATTTTGCATTTATCTCAAAAAATTCTAAATATGATAAATATAAACTTTTCCAGATATAATTTTCTTCTTTTAGTAGTGACAATTAATCGTCGCAAAATTAGATCGATGAAGAGATCCATTCGATAAAGAGATGGAACATGCTTCAAAAAAATTCCAAAAAACAGGTGAGATTTATTGCTATGATCTACTTGAATCATGCATTACGAAAAATAAAAATGGTTAAAGTTGTTCAATTATATAATAGAATTAATATCGTAATATTTTTCAATAAATTTTTTAATTAATAATGAATTTTAATGTACTTTATACTAATAGTTAGGATTTAGTTGTAAATCTGTTGTAAACTGTTGGCTCGAGTTTAATTTTTACATCTTAATTACGATTCGCTACAGGGAAACATGGATACGATGTGCAATATTTTATCTGGGAAATAATTCAGATAGTCATGAAAAGATACGGACCAACTAATTTTCGATATACGTGTAAGCGAAACAGAAATCGGTGATTAGTCAACTATGTCCTTCCTTTAAAAATTACAGCAGATATATTTGGAAACGTTTTTATTCGTGCGCGTGGTTAGATTTCTTTATTGGAGGTCAAAGTGTCAGCCAAGTATCAATTCTTGTTGGCAAAATATCAAAATGCGAGTATATAAGGAAGACAAGCATCAGTACGAAAATCTGCACGAGCCAAAAACTGCAACTAAATCCTATCACTGCTATAACAAACATTACATTGTTATCATTTCCAATAATATGATAGAGAATTATTATAAAACTTTGCTCTTATTATTGTAAAATATGTTACGATGATTGAAATGTCGCAATTATTTCAGAGTCGCTTTCAAGACTACAATTATACTAGAAATTTCGACTTTTCATGGCAGCCCCATAGATTTTCCAAATAATCCAAATAACTTCCAATATTAAAATTAATCTGAATAATTTTCCAGAATCTCGATCCTCATTCTACATTATTATTCCCTCCAATTCGTATACATGATTCAATTGCAACGATTAATCGCTACTACAATCGGCCTGAAGTCCAAGGGAAGTGTGTACCTACATATCTATAGGCAAGCTTTCGGTATATTTCGTGCAGATAAATAGAGAGAGCACTATGTAAGTTTCGCACGCGCGCTCTCGTATGAATATAGTATGTATGCATATGTATGTATGTGTGTATATCGTGCACCATCCTGTATTGGATAAGTCGACCAAAATACAGAGATATTTGTGGATTGTGGAAGTGAGATAACCAATGATTTGTTACCGCGGTAAATTCCATTGGAGTTAATGCTTTCGATTAAAATGATGTCCATTCCTTGAAAAATCAAGGACATCATTTGATTCACGTATTTTTGTGTTTTGCGCTAGATTTAGAAGACTTATAATTATATTTAGAGATATTATTATGTTTCTAATTATGAAAAGAGAGAGAAAATATTCTTTTAACTCATTTTGAAGTCCTTGAGGAATATGTAGTGACAAATAGTCGACAAGTAAGAAAGAAGGAAACACAATAAAAAAATTGATGATTTAATTAATAAAAATTATCTAGTTTAAGTATTTTTGATAATAATCTAAAAAAATTTTTTTAATTTTCTTTTTTATTTCTTGTAGTTAGTTTTAGCTAGATAAATATTCTAGATGATATTACTTATATGGTATTGCTAGAAAATATAGCTAGAAAAAGCGGAAATATATTATATAGTGATGATATATTATAATTTTATTAACTCATGACTACTCGGCCATTAGATTCAATTTTTACTAAAGTAACGCTGTTAATTTTAATTTGTGAAAATAGATTAATAAATAAATATTGTTAACGATTTAAGTATGTCTTATTACTAAATAAAATTTTGCATCTCGAGTTGTTATTTCCTCGAATTCTGAACTGACTATCGAAATGTTTACGTTCTACAGAAATATTTTGTCAGAAAGTTTTGTTAGAAAAGATTGTAAAATTTCACTATATATATTTACATTATGTCTATATATATGTATTTATTAAAAAATGTGTTTGAGTCATCATTAATCTTATAAATGACTGTATTAGTCGATTCGCAAAAGGCAATATTTGATATGGAAATGAAGTTGAAAGTACTACATTTAACGCTATGATAGTAATTGATAAGTGAATATACTCTGTGGAACAGAATACGAAAGATATAATAAAAAATATCGTTATTTTGAATTTTACGCATATAGATATCACTGCAAAAATAAATTTTAGCAACACTGAATTGCAGCACGAAGAAAGGGTTTAGTTTTATGAGTAGAAAATAAAAATACTATTGAAGAGTTTAGATATTTGTTCATATTATGCATAATATATAAATGATATATGATATATTATATATATATATACTTTGCTTTTTCAGTAATAATATTATTGTAATCATGTTTGTACGTATCATGATATATATGTATACGCCTTGAATTCCTTTATTTTACGAACATTATTCTGATTAATCACAATTCTCGTCGGAATGTTAATAAGTTTGGTATACTTATAGGCATGCTTCACGCGATTTTCGTGCAGGCAAATGGAAGTTTATCATGATGAATGATTCACAAAGATTGTCGAAATAAGATATGCAAAAGTGAAATATTTTACATTGTTCATGCCTTAAATGTCAGCGGTTGTTCAATTAATTTTATGAGATATTTAAAAAATCAAAACTTTATCTGATAAACAGGATTCGTTGATAAAATCTATAGAGGCAAAATGTGGAAATATACATTTTTATTTATCGCAAATAAATTAAAATCAAATTTATAAAACAAATTCATGCAAATAATTAAGCTTTTCGTTCCCGGTTCTATCAGGTGACATGAAAAGTTCGATCAATCGATAATGATTGCAATTTCATAATAATGTAGTCATCAATGATTATTTTCAAACTGAAATATATAATAACGATTATATTATGTAAAAGTCAAAGCGCGATATTAGAAAAACATCGCGTTAAGAGAATGCTTGAAAAGGAAAAAGAATAAAATCGCTAAAAAAAGTAATTTTTTGCGACGTCTAGTTTATCAATAATTTACCTATCTATCAACAGTAAATCGTTTAAAAAGTCCTATCGGTTTTGCATAAACTCATTAAAACTTTTTTACAGGATTGAAAGGAGCTTAATGTTTTTTGAATTTTCAAATATTTGAACTTTTTATTTCAGGAGCGTTCAAATATCTAAATTGTGATATCTAAAGAGACTATGAATAAACCGAGAGAACTTCCACAAAAACTTGATGCTTCCAATTAACTGTTCTCACTGTTCATAATATTTCTCTCTCTAGGAATAGAAATTCTATAAATAATTATACGTTTGCGATTATGTCTAATATCCCTTTTAAAATATACAGAAAATACATAATACATATAAATAATTATGCAAAATATTATATATATTTTTATAATACATATACAAAGTCTCGGATAATAAGTGGAACCGTTTCTTGTAAGAAAGTGCAACTAGTTAAGCCAAATGAAAAAGTGTATCGTAATTTTCAGAATAATTAATGAGAAATGAACTATAAAGATCTGCGAGCGTACATTCGCACGACAACAATAAATGTAAGCACACAACTATGTACAAGATAGAATATAAGGTGTGCATATGTTCATGTACTCATTAAATTTTGAAATGGACAAAGTCAATTTGGCCTACATTTACAATTTAAGAATTAATTATCGTTGGAAATTAACTATCAAATATTGCAGATTAATCGTTAAATAAACAATAATATTTATAATTATTTATAATTTATAATATTTATAATTAAATATCAGCAATCGTGTAAAACATTATAAGGATATTTTTATCGATATTTCTATCGCGACACATGCTTAGTTACATACATTTCCTTCCTTGACAATTATATTTTTAATTAAATATTTAAAAAACGTCTATAATAATCGAGAATCCAATAAATGCTAATAGTTATTATATATTATATATAATTATATATTATATATATAATTTGAAAATTCAAATTTTTATTAAAAAAAGCAAGCAATCTTCAAACAAATGTTTTTTTTTCATATTATTAATACAGTTTTGCATGATCATCGAGAATGGATTAATAAACATCCCAATAAATGGTTGTAACTGAATTTTAGTAAAGAAAGGAAGACCAACTTAACTACACGCTTATATTCGCTGAATTGCGCGGATGTACATTCATCCGCATATTTCCATTAATTAATTTTTCATTAATTATTGTAAAAATCGTAAAACGGTACAGAACATTTTCTATTTAGCAATTTAATTCGCTACCTGTTTACAGAAAATATTACATTCATTACCAGAAACTCTATGTATATACAAAACATAAATTTTAATAAATTTATACTTTGTGATAAATATTACGTTTAATGAAATTGACATTTAGCTACAAGCCTCTTTGTTAGTCAGCAAATTAATGGCAGATACAATAGCATCTGGGCAAGGAGAAGGGAAGGGGGAATTTCTCCGGAGAGTGAGCGAAAACAAATCGAAATAAAACCTGGGCATTTGCGTAGCTCCGAGTCGTTCGTCTTACCTTCGCTGTTCTCATCCTCTGTTGACTTGGCCGATTGTAGCTTCGCGCTTGGTTGCTTCGCTGCAATCAAAATTCGCAGCTGGCACCGCGTTCTCTCTTTTGTTTTTCTCTTACTTTTCTTTTCCTCCCCCCTTCCCGCCCCTCTACCTTCAATACTTTTGCTTGATCGATTGATTTTCCATCATAATCGATCGTCATAACCCTTCTTCAAGGCCGATAGAAAAATTTCAAAAACTATTGCATGCTTATTCAACTATTGAAATTCATCGAGATTTTTTTCCCCCAAATGTCAAATTCTACTCTCTTTTGACTCTATCACGAAATATCGATAACGAATTGAAGTAAAAGCGACGATTCATATTTTTTTTTGAAACAAAAAGAGGGCTAGACCATTATTTCCATTGAAATTTCTTCAAAAGTCGACATGTATGACAATTTTCTAAATTTCCAGTGGTATCATGAATATATAAAGTGGTGGCATATCATAATAAATATCTAAATATAATAATATTTTCTGTATGGCACTCACAGAGAAATTTTTACAATTAAAATCTACTCACATGTACTATTGTTTCATAATCGTGCGATGTAAGTAAATTTGATCATAAATCCGCATTCATTTTTTTGTTTGATAATATAAAAACAAAATAATCATGATACCACTGGCGATACTATGGATGAATTAAATCTATCGATTCGCGTAAAAAAAAGAAGAAACGAAAGATTGCTTGTGAATAAAGATCACACGGATAGGGAGAAATCGTTGGAGTTCAATCGTCCACAATGCATGTCGATTTATTTCATTTTTCAAGAGAGACCGGGGAACGAGACCGGGGAACGCCGTTGACGAGATGAGAAAGTCAATGGCGTGGAATTTATTGCGGCCAAATTGCCTTACGCGAAACGAGGTCGCGAAAGATCGCGCGGGATCGTGAACGATTAAATTCGAGCGACGACTAGCTGAGAAATCGATAATCGGTGGAAATCGAGGTGGAAATAGATTTTAACATGATAATAATATTCGCAATTATTGATCTTTTATCAGAAATTCTATTATCTGTTTTTTTTTAATCTACTTTTTAGATATTTTCTATTTTATAAACTATATATTTTTTGTATGTTGTTAACAACTTAAAAATTGCTATAGTAATAATAATAATAAGTAAACTAACTGAAATGAGATAAACAAACTGCTACAAGTAACGTTTGTCTTTTCGATACAATGTAAATTTAAATAAACATAGACACCTCGAATTGAATTAACTGTCTGTTTAATATGAAGCAAATTTTGATCTCTATATCAACCATTATTGTTGAAAGACACTTTGTATTCTCAAAGATTCTCGAGATTCCTTGAATCATATGAATTCCAAACAAGAATTAGAGGAAATTTGTTACATTAAATTCATAGTCATATATTTCAAATATTTAAAATTAAATAACTAAATATTGTAAATATATTATTAAATATATCAACTGTAAACAATTAATTACAGGTTATGCATTTTACGTCTATCATTATATTATAGAAATATAAAAAAACATATTATGTAATAAAATATTTTAGAACGGAAATTTTTATGCGAATAACGTAGCTATCTGCAAATACAATTTTGAACAAGGCCGCAAGAACCGCATTTTCGCGTTTAATCGCGCGTTACCGAGATACTCGATCGAGTGGAAACGAGGGGGATTCACCGATTCGATCGACAGCTGACGTCTGCTCTCGAAAAATGAGCCGGGAACGAATTTACGTTACCGGCAGGTAAAATGCATATCTACTTTGATTTATAAGCGTTCACACAGAAACATCAGTAAGAACAAAGTGAGAATAACATCGAGAGAACAGGTATTTGACAATATGTATCGTAATGCGCTGCTCTAAAAATATATCATGACATACACAATATCGAAATATAAATAGGATCATCCCGCAATTCATGATTTTAATTTGAATGACATTCTTGACGAATTTGAAGTCGATTTTTTCATAATAATAATTTTTAAAAGATATTTATTTAATGTAACATTTCGATTTCCAATATATATTTTTATAACTAAATTTCAAATTGGAATTTTATTAACGTGAAGCTCATTTGAAATTAACTGAAGGATAGATCTCAAGAGGTCTTCTATGATCTCTTGAAACTTATAATCAACGAATCTTATAACTGAATAATTTTAAGGCACTTCAATATTTTCTTTAAAAAAAGCAACTCCAAATTCATCATCAGATAATCTGCCATTAAAATCGCGAATTATGTAGGGCGCTCTCTATATATATGCGTGTATATATAAATATGTTACACAAAAAATAATGCATTGTATATATCGTAATAAAATCGCGATAATAATGTGTATGAAGTGAATAGGATGTGGAGAGCGAGTGCGTTAATAATAGTAATACGAATAAACAAACTCATTAAATCTAAAGATACGGAGAAAAGAAGTAATAACTTCTCTCCGCGAATAGGTGATCGCTCTCGAGAGCGTGTATCGATATGAATATTTTCTTTTCTCAATTAAATAATGACTGAAGTATTTTTATTAAAATTAAGAATAACTCACGTATGTCTATGTAGAACAGAGTCAATAAATGTGAGAAATCAATTTACTCGAGTGACGTGAAAATTCTTTAATCGCATCGAGCCTAAACAATATGAGTATAAATCCCCCAATCATTGTAGATTCCTTCCTTAATTTTTAAAAATATATCTCATATATTTATCAATTTATCAATGCACCTTTTTTCTTTTGGAAAATTATTCTTCAAACATAAATCACTCGTAATAAATTTTAAAACTTCACATAAGAAAAAATTTACTGCTTATTTTGCGTGTGAAATATCACGTCACATCATAGCACGCGTATTAGTAGTATAGTAAAACTTTTTGTTTTCTGCTGATGAACAAGCTATTTTATTCCGTTTAGGATTAATGTTCGCTAAATATAACGGAAGTAAAAATACTATTCTGTTAAATTATCGTACTTACTCGATGGTGGCGGCTGCGGCGCGCGTCGCACAACTGTATGCTCCTGATGCGGTCCTGTGTACTCGTGCCATGTGTACGTGCTCCTGTATTCCGAATGAAGCTGCTATAACATTAACACGCAATGTGCTTTTAAAAGTCACGATAAAAATACTCTATGATTGTATATATAAATGTAGATGTATTGAATAATATAAAAAATTATTATACATTAATTTCATAATATCACGAATTTAATATATCATTCTAATTTTAAGTTTCTAAAATAGTACATTGTTTTTTTTGTTTGATACAATGGCATATTCACAAAATGTCCACAGAAATGAATCGAAGCTATTATATAAAAGGCTTTAGAATTTTAATTAAGAAACAATATTCTTTTTATTATAGAATAATTTAATTCAATTATTGCTAAATTAATAATATTTTTAAAGCTCCTTCATGAATATTTTTTTTCAGAGGATTTACGGATTATCATATCGTGATCTAATTACTAAATTTTGCGCTAATTATTAAATTTATTAATTGTAATAAATTTTAATTTATTTAATGACTTTAATTAAAGACTTAATAAAAAGATGTAATAAATTAAAAATTTTTTTTCATTATTAGTTATTTATAAAATTACATTAATTATATGAAATTATAATAATCATACAAATTTTATTCTACATTTTTTACTTATTTTTTTCATAAGGAATCTGGTTTTTTTTTTCAATTATATTACTATATTACTACTTCGGAGACACTATATATTTTTAGCATGGCCGTCATTCACTGTATCAATTAAAATATATTGCAAGGTTTCGGTGGATAAACGGATCGATGGTTAAGGCTTCCCTAATCTATTCGAGAAAATACCGAGTTTGTTATATATTTCATGTCAAATGTAATTATTTTTATCCAAAGCATTAATAAATAGTGACGAAATATAATTAAATCCATCAAATTCCCATAAAAAAAAAACTTTAATATAATTATAATTAATAAAAACAATTAAAGCTTCCTCAAAGCTATTTATTTCTTATACTTGTTTTTTTTTATATATACTTGCACTAACTCCCTTCTTATCTTAAAGAATTTATTTTTTAATATTTTTTAATATTTAATTATGTCCAATAATTTTCATTCGTTTTCACACAAATGACAGAATTTAATTTTTTAAGCAAATAAAAAATCTAACATTCTAATGAGTGCTTGATAATGTAAAACAAATATAGATAGACTTTCAAACAATAAACAGTATATGTTCTACCGTGAATCGCGCACAAACGACTATTGATTCTTCGACGTTTATTTATTAATGGCAATGTGGGACAACGTTAACCTTTATCGTAGATCGCCGCGCCCAGGCATTACACATATTTCTTGTTTCTTTTCTTTTTTTAAAACCATAAAAAATAGAAAACTACGGAAGAAATCCGATACACTATTATTGGTTCGATCACTTAATTTTAACGTGGACCAAAATGAAAGTATACACTGTAATAATAAATCATTCAAAAATTATCTTTTCAAAAAAAGATAAAAATGCCGCCAAGTCATACATTAGTTCAAATATAATACATTGTTACATATACATACTTACAACGTTGTAAAAGCATTTTCTTATACAAAAATAAATTTAAAAACATATTTAATTTTAAGCAAAAAATATTAACATCGGAAATATTGCAATATTTTTGTTTAAGGAGGTTCTAAACATATTCAAACTAAAGATCGAATAGATCACTCTATACACTACTACAGCAATATCGCACGTATACATAACTATAAGAAATTTTCACGCAACTTTTTCTTTTGTACTAAAGCTCCTAAACTCATTTCTAAAAGTATAGTATTGTTCTTTCATGTAATTTTCCCGAATTAATTATTTTATATGTACAAAGTATAAAACTTTTATATGAACTTTTATATATAATAAACTTTTATATAAAAAGCAAATGTAATTACGAATCAACGTTAGAAATCGATAACAATAATTTTCAAATTTTTATTCAAATTTTTATACTTTTTCATATAAAATCGTTTCAAACTGCCCGTTATTGTTTATACTTTAAAAAAAGATTCATAAAAGGATTTTTAAATCTGTAGATGTAATACATCTATGAAAAAGTAATATAAAATTTTTTTTGTTTGATCGTTAAAATTACAAAGTTGCGTCAATAAAAATAAAATTTCACTATGTATATATAATTCATTGTATCTACTACATTATTCACTATTCAATTCTTTCATTATTTGCTTTGATATTAAAAAATATTATATCCAATATACATGATTCTTTAATATTATGAAAACAAGTCCTTAGAAAAATATGTAATATTTTGGAACAGATAATTCCATAAAAAATTCTCGAAAATAATCAGATGTTTTATTGGATAAAAAGACAACCAAAAAAAATTAAGTAATAAAACAAAAAGTAAAAGATATTCAAAAGATATATAAAGATTTATAAAAAGATATTTATTATAAAAAACATGATGCTATTAAAATAGTAGTTGATGATATCATAATAATTAATATAATATATAATTATGGTTTATATATTTGAGATTCAGCAGCACTGGAATGTATAAATTTTACATCCCTGCGCTTCGAAATTGTAGTTCTGTTAGGAGTTCTGGATTATTTAGAACAAAAGGAAGAGTTCGAGACAGTTAGAAAAAGTTTCGTTCAATGTAACACACACAGCAGTGCAGATATAAAACTTGTTAGATAAAACGAAATAGTTGACTGTTAAAGAGATATATCCATAATTTTATCAAAACAATTGAGAGAATAATTTAGGACTATTATACATGATTATTATACTTAGTTTGGAATGTTTTTGTTTGAATAAGTTAATTTTATTATATTATTTACAAGGCGATTACCAATTATATTGATATAAAATCACTTATGTGCTAATCTCACAAATTGATTGAATGCAATTAATAGTTTTGAACAATCATCAATCGATATCACCAACTAATGGATCACAAAAAACTCCTTTGCAAAAATTCATGCATATCATTTATGAACATGCATTCTTTATATTACGTCAAACTTATAGAAAGACGTCGCATGGCAAACGTTCCTCAAACATATTTTTTTATAAATTTAATTTAATTGTGCATTACACCTTTGTTCATATTGTATAGAAAGTAAAAAGAAAAATATTTCTTATGCAACCGGAGCTATCAGTTGAGTCCACTATAAACTTAACCGTTCTAGTTATTATTGAGACACAACTGTTTTTTGATTGATGTCACGAGTGGAGTAATGAAAGCATAAAAATAAAATAAAAATTCATGATACAATTCTATTCAGTAGTCCGCAGCATGTTCGAAAATTATGATACGCGTCGATTAAATGGAAAACCGTTGATCGGAAAGGAAAGGTGGTACGATTCATAAACAAATTCTGACACGAACTCAAGACAATAAGACAATAAGCGCACAAAGTTCTTGCGACATTGCACGGCTTTTCGCAACACGTCGATTCCGTCCATTGAAATCATTAACAGGGCTCGCAAGTGATCGCGGTATAACGATGAGAAGTTAAATGGAAAAGCGAAACGCAAATAGATATGCTTAAAACCATCTGTAAAACTTTTAGATTTTTATTTTAATTGTGTTTGGAATAGGTATATAAGATTATAAATGGAAGTATGAATAAAATTATGAAAGAGAAGATTAGATAATAGATAAAATGATACAAATTTCCTAGATTGCAAAAAAATTGAACATAATTTTGTCATTTGATATTTGTTTTATTATGGATATTTATTTTATAATATTTTGTTATATATGTATTAGTATTCCTTGATATCAACTTTTCTTTCATATTTCTTGTTTAATATTTGATATTAAATTTTCCTTAATGAAAAAATAGAAGTCTAGCTGAAAAAAAAAAATCGAACAAGCTATTTTTGGTGATCATCTTTAAGAAAGATGGCAATTAATATGATCGCACCTTTTTTAAATTTAATTTCAAGCGGACTTTCCTTTAAAATAACGAAATTCACTTAAAATTTCAGTTCAAACTTCAGTTACAAAGTTATATAACGTTAAAGTTAGAAAGAGAGATACGATAAGCAACTTCCCTCGGCATTTTCGCTAAAAGTTGTTTTCAGATCGAAGAAGCTATAGCCGAAACACGAGCTGATGATTTTGAGATACTCTATACACACAGAATAGCTTTACAGGAATTCTCTATACTTCTAATTCGGGTAGGATAGATGAGTAGAGAGCAGACAAGCGAGAGAAAGGCTGTCATCCAGAACGATCTTCGTTAAAACTTTCCGACAGTTCTCTCTCGCATGAGCCGTAATATGTGTATGTATTTTCTATTTACTCCTATCATCTATGTATTTCCCTCGTGATGTAGCCAGGCAATTTATACGATGCTGCAACCGATCTCTTTCCATACGTATATGCCACAATAAATAATATAGTAATTTTAGAAACAATGACTAATACTTCTATTAATACCGAATGAACTAGGTATTTAATATTTTAGCACGCGAGGAGCCCAAATTTCATTGACCTTAATATTTATATTTATTATCGCAATTCCGGTAAATTTTATCTTAATCTACGATCGCAAACAAACAAGCGCGGAGCAAATTGATGTGTAATTTAAGTTATAAAATAAATAACCAAAATAAATAACAAAGCTGATTTCATCGAATGTCATTAGAGTGGATGAATTATGGATCATTATAATAGAATGGAAAGGTCAACGCTCATTATTTATTCACGTATTTAGGAATTTTCCCCTGGATCTTTATATATATATATATTTTTTTCTTTTCTTTATCGGTTTTCCTAGTCTGCCAAGTAGTTATACCACAAGTAATTCTCGATCGATCGTACTTCGATGGAACAAGAAAATCTGGTTTCTCGGGCGAATGCACACCGATCAGATGTCAACATGTGATCATCAACAACATATGATCTAATCCTTTTCCCTTCTCTCGTTATATATTCTATCATCTTACCATTATCTTTCGGGGACACTTATCATTGACAACGAATGTAGATAAATCAAAATCGTTACAACAGCGACCTACAAAATATTCTCTAATGGCAAAAAATAAAAATAAAAATTCGTTGGTTCGAA